CTTGAAAACCTCCAGGGATGGTGAATCCACCACCTCCCCGGGCAGCACATTCCAAGGTCTGATCACTCTCTCTGTAAAAAATCTCTTCCTAATATCCAACCTAAACCTCCCCTAGCAGAGCTTGAGTCTGTGCCCTCTTGTCCTACTGCTGGTTGCCTGGGAGAAAAGACCAACCCCCATCTGGCTACAACCTCCTTTCAGGGAGTTGTAGAGGGTGATAAGGTCTCCCCTGAGCGTCCTCTTCTCCAGGCTAAATGATCCCAACTCCTGGACCCGCTCCAGCACCTCAATATCCTTCCTGAACTGAGGGGCCCAGAACTGAACACAGTACTCAACCGGTACTCCAAATCACCTCCCTGGTCCTGTTGACCATGCTGTTCCTGATCCAGGTCAGGATGCCACTGCCCTTCTTGGCCACCTGAGCACACTGCTGGCTCATGTTCAGCTTTCTGTCTCTCCAAACTCCCAGGTCCCTTTCTGCCTGGCTGCTCTCCAGCCACTCTGTCCCCAGCCTGGAGCTCTGCATGGGAAAGGGGAACACATCCTCTGGGACTTTTCCAATCTGTTACAAAAAATAAGTCTCAACAGTTCAAAGATTATTGAGGAACACTGGAATGAATGTTGAGTAACATTCAGTTTCACAGAACTAATAAAATCAAGTTGTGGATACTTAATGCATCTAACTTTGCTATCCTTTAATGATTTAGTAATCTTTTGATATCCTTATTCAAGCTATTGTTCTTTGTTAAAATTAACTTTAGGTGAATAAAGTACATTTTGCTTTTATTTTTACAAGTTTGAAGAAGAAAAAAATTATGAAAAAGAGAATTTGTGAACCTCCATCCTTGGAAATACCCTGAAGCTAACTGGACATGTTTCTGGGCAACTGCCTCTAGGTGGCCCTGCTTGAGCAAATGTCCTTTCCTACTTCAGCCTTTGTGTGATTCTATTAATAAGTCACCTATTATGTTTCTCATGAAAGAAAACATCTATTTCACACACACACCTTAATTCTAACATGCAGAACCTTTTCTTTTTATTCGTTACTTTTAGTTAATTTTTAATCTACAGTTTTCTGACTTTATTTTTGCTCTTTCTGAAGATTGAATCCAATTGCATTTTACATTGGGTCTCCAAAGATAACAGAAGGAAACAGTGGAACAGGTGGTACAGATTTAGAATGTCTCAGTAAGCAGGAATTTGCCAAAGGAGAGAAGTGTGTAGTATAAATCAGAATTGATATTGTCTTAACAAAGCCATAGAAAGTCCTCCTTCAGAACCTTAAGTAAAATTTAGGTGAATTTGAAGTCTTCTTTTGAGTATCTCAGATAACCTAGGTCATCTAAAATGCCTCTAGATGTTTATATTTAGCTTCCAGGATTGTTTCCAGGATGATATACTAATGTAGGACTTGTCCCTGGACTTTCCTCTTACTTAGTGCTCTACCACCTGTGGAATGGGGGCTTTCTGGAGACATGTGGAGTGCAGCAGCAGGAACACGTCTCACTGTCAGCACACAAAAAAGCCTGATCCAGCAAGAAAATGTTATCTTCGCCCATGTGCTAGCTGGAAGACAGGAAATTGGAGCAAGGTAACTTCATTCAGAGCTGTGTGTGAACAGTAGGCTTGCAAACTTCAATGAGTAGGAAATTCTAAATACTTCATTTTTAAAACAATTATTTATTCAGTGAATGCATATGTGATTCCCAGATGACCATTTAGCACTAATTTACTAATTTCCTGACCAAGTTTTATCTGGAAACACATCTGCTGTAAATTTTGTTCTTCCGGTGGTGGGTTGTGCTCATTAAATCTTGCATCTAGAGCTAAAGCGGGACTCACTGTTCGTGTTCTATAGTGATCCCAGGGCAAAGCTGTACACATTTGCTTGTGTCATCTCTTTGATCTCTGCCTCCGGAGGCATATCCTAATTTTAAGAAGCAGTGGGAATTTGGAAGATGAAGTTGTCATCTTCCTATTCACCCTTGTCACCATATATTATCTCTTATGTGGCATGGTCTGTGCCCCATGCATGTAACCTCTAAGTTTTGCATGTAAAAAAACTAGAGAAAACTGTACTGGGAGAATGGCTGCTATGTATGGAGTCATGTTTGGTCCTAGTAATGTACACATGGCCTGGACAAGGGTGTCCAGGGTGGTAAGTGGAACTCAATGAACTGTGTTTGAATTCCATTCTTGTATTACAAGATTTGCAATGAGCACCTGAAAGGACTTTGGTGACTTTTAGAAACTTAATACATTTCATCTTAATGGAGTCTAAAAATGGAGTTTCAAACAGTGGGTTATTTTTCAAGACTCATAAGAGAAAAACTGCAAAATTGTATTTGAAATAATGTTGATTTAATAAAGAAAAATATAGATGTCTCAGACCTTTTTGGTACATACCATTTTTGTGGACATTATTGTTGCCATAGGGCTAGAGGGCAGATTCATACAAAGAAAAGGTTATAGCTGCAAAACCTGTGTTATATTATTGAGCTCTTTGACACAGAATTGATTTGTACATGAATTACATACCTGTTTTAAAAGATCAGGAAAGGCCAAGGCTTTACATAACTACATTTACGCCTTCAAAATTAGTTTTAAATGCTACATAGACATTTTGCAGTCACAGTTGGGCATATTTCACCTTCAGTTTTTCTTCATAAATGTCTTTGCTCTTGCAACAAGTCCATGATAGGTAATGCCACAGAAAGCAGATAGATATCAGGCTTAATGATAAAGTATTATGGGAAACAAATATTTAAAAGTGTCGGTCCAGTTGTGAAACTAGTTTGAGACAAAGGGCTTTTCCTCCCAGATTTCTGTTATGTAGGCTACCCTTATTTTCCAGCAAGTGAGCTATACAAACCTAATCACAATTTCATATATAGAAATGACTAGTTCTTGTTTGCTTTACCAAGTGACAGTTGTTTCGTGTTACTCATTTCAAACATTTTTAAGGCACCTTATCACAGCAAGATGACTATGTTCCTCTGCTAGTGTTGTAGAGCTTTTCTGTTAATTTCCTGTCATCTAGTTCTTCCTCTTCCCTAAAAGAAAGGTGCTTCAGACTAGATCCTGCAGTTTGAATTTAATACCAGGTATAATTTGCACACGGACTGGACTTAGTGCTGCTGCATAAAGCCTTAGAGGAAGCTCTGGAGAAAAATGAGACTGGAAGGGCTCTCTTAGCTCACTAGTGGAGCTCTAAGCTGAGAAATTATTTCACAGGCTGTAAGGCTCAGAGTGCCTCTTTCTTCTCTCCCATTCTCTCATGCCCAGGCTGCTTTTGGGGTATGAATCCCCCTGGTGCCATGGAGGAGCAAAAGCAATGAGGGTGGGAACTGCTGCTATTAGATGAGTCCACTGTCTCCTAGAGACATTAGCAGCAACTGAAGTCTATGGGCTAAGACAAGGAAAAGTTTTGCCACCCTGAGCAATCTGCTGCCATTGACACCTACCTTTTCAATGGCTGAATGAGAAAACAACTGTGCCTTCACATTCTCTCCTTCCATCCCTCCCTCCCTTTCTGAAAAAAACTAAGGACCTGACAATTTCCCTGCATACAGAATTCATTTTTTGTATTTATTGCATTATGTTCTTTCACTATGATGTTTTTAGAAATGACTGGCAAGATTTCCCAATTAAATATGCATCCATGTTATTAATGGACATTGCAGTGAAGGAAGGAAAGTACTTATATGGCATGTTCCAATTAGCTGTGATGAAAGCCACAGTGTTTAAGCATAACGACAGATTGTTGTTACGGTAAACTGGAAATACCCTCTGTGAGCTGGGATGCAGAGCTCAGGTTGTCCTCTTCCTCTTTGACTGGGGAGGTACAGCCCCTCAATGGAGCATCATTTAGAGATGTGCCCTTTTCTTTTTGTGTACAGTGCTCTGCCAACTGCAATGGTGGTTTCAAGACCCGAGATATTCACTGCGTTGATGTTCGTGAAAAACGACTTCTCAGGCCTTTTCATTGCCAATTACTTGGATATAAACCACAAGTCAACACTAGTTGTAACACAGAGCCTTGCTTGCAGTGGCGTGTGGAGCCCTGGAATGAGGTATTGTACTTTTAAAGAAGCTTGGGGAATAAGCAATTACCTGTCAGTGACTGTTAAATCCCATGCTGTTAAGTAAATTTTTGCTCAAAGACACACAGCTAGTGTGTACCACTCTGATGTCCTTGTGTATGGTTATGGCAAAAATTAGCATAGATGTTTGTAAAGCTTCCCAGACTCATTCTTAGGATTGCATTTGATGCACAGCTAGACCTGTAAATTACCATACCCTGAAAGAGAGAAGCAGATGGCCTGGAAGAATATTTGTTTTAGCTGTCCGATTGGATCAGTAAATGTGGTTCATTTGGATTAATCCCTTTTGCTCCCAGTTTAATGTTGCTTTCTCATTATGATGAATTTAAAATTTTCCTTTACACTTTTGGGCTGAAATTTTATTGAGCCAGAGGCTTAGGCCAGATGTAAGATAAATCTGACTTTTGGGTCCCTTTGTAGTATAAATCTGTGCCAAGAAACTCACAGGCAGCCAGGCACACATTTATGTCAGCTAAAGCACGTGGTCTGATTACATTTAGTGTTTGCTCCCACTGAAAGCGGATCTGGAGAAAGCAGCATGATTGCAGCCCTATGGACCTGATGGTTTTGGATTTCAAGGGAGTTGATCACATTGTCCCTTATCGCGCACAGGCAAATCACCCCTGCCATGAGACCAATCAGCAAGGGTTGAAAAAAGTAAAAATAGGGAAATGATTGCACCTATTTGCCACTTAAAATATGTTATAAAAACATAGTTGTTTTTATAAAAACAGTTGTCCTCATGCTAGGGACACTGGTAGAATTGGAGAGGTTCATTTATCAGGTGTCAGATCTAGTGCTCTGTCCATGGGCATACAACTCCTTGGAGGATTTTTCCAACTGTCTTTATAGTCTATTTCTGGGTTCTCACCTATTCCCACCTCTCTTTGTGCCCCTCTTTTCTTAGTGTTCGAGAACATGTGGTGGTGGCCAGCAAAAGCGGCACATCTACTGCCCAGAAGAAGGATACTGTGACTGGACCAAAAGACCTAAAGCCATTGCATCATGTAACAGGCAGCCTTGTACACAGTGGATTAACCAGGCCTGGAGCCCAGTAGGATTCAGTTTATTTCTGTTCTGTCTTTTTGTCATGAGTTGGCCGTATTTGGTCATATTGCCCTCTTGTCTTTGAATTTCAGTGCCTATGCCAAGTATAGTTTCTTACACACAGCAGAAGCTACAAAGGAAGAACTTCTGAAAGCAAACATTTCATAGGCAGCCAGTCTCCATTTCTTGAGGTGATAGACATTGTAGCTTTTACTTTGTGATGCTGATTAGGTGTTGTTGGAGGGCTGGGGTTTTTTTCCTTGTCTAATGAAAAAGGAGATACTATTGACATTCATCCTTTGCTCATTTGAAATTTTCCACTATTCAAGGCTATTGTAGCGGGTTAGGGGATCCTTAAAGCAACTTTGTGAAATATTGGACTTGCCCACAGAAAGAGAAATTCTGAATTTTAGCCAATAGCCTTCTAATTTAGCACCCTGGTAGTCTAATTGGCAAATATGAGATGCATCTTTGAGGAGCCTTCCAGTATCTGCAATACATGTTTATTTATAAAGAAACTGGTATAGGTAATAAACCTTTTCCTCCAGTTTCCTTGAGAAACATTACATACATTACAAGTACTCCTCACAGCAGAAGAGAATACTGACGGAATGCTGAAAGCAGAAGCCACAAATAAGGAAACAATGGAGAGTCATTTAACACAGGAAATGTAATGAGTTGGTCTTGACACAAAGCCATTAGATGGACATGTCTATAACATAATGTGAAGTTAGTGTAACACTTAAATATGGAAGTGAAATGCCTAAAATAATCAACCAAATACCAAAAATTATAATGACTATTTAACAAATTTATTAATCCCATATTACTGTATTAATTACTAATTTTACTCTATATAAAATATTTTCAACATTAATCCAAACTTGCTGCAAGAGTACCTAGGACTTTTTAATGTACTTCATTCATGTACACCAGTAATATTGTCTCATGCACTGGGATATACATCAGAGAGAGAATAATTTGCAGAGGTAGTGGTCCTGTCTTCATCTCCTGTGCTTCATTAATGGACAGTCTCTGTCTGTTGAATTATATTTCTTTCTGGCCACTATTTATCTGAAGACAAAAAGAATTTTAAATTAACTGGAATTCTCAGACTCCCTGGAAAGTTGGAAGGGTTAGGTACATTTGCAGAACAGTACAGGAACATATTTTAAAGATGTTCTCCTTTTTTATGGCTGTCTGTATATAGCCAGAACAAGCAGTTGTCAGTTCTTTTGTGGTCATAAAGAAAGGGTAACCACCACGTAAATGTCACCAAAGAAATGAAACTGAGCTTTTTTCTAAAATCTCAGGTTGGTCACTTGTAGACCTAACAAGGCGATTGATTGCTCATGTTTAACTTAGATTGTGAGAAAACACAGGAAGCAAAAAATATACTAATTTGTACTAATTTGGATTACTACTTTCTTATTTTGTACAACTGGCATTTCAGATCATCCTCATCCTCCTCTGTAGAAAACAGTCCTCTCCCACTGGGTACACATTACAAGATGCTGCATTTATACTATTTAACCCTCCACTGTGTCCTGCCAAATCTGGCACCATGGAGGTGTCTGGATGAAGCATGCATTACACAAAGTACTGTAATGTCATGGGTTCTGGATCATATGGCATTTTTACCTTTCTGACACATTACAGCTGATTGATTGGCATTTTACAAAATTTTCATTTGAAAAGACATTTATATATGTTAAAATTACTCTCTTTCAGTGCACTGCTTCTTGTGGAGGGGGCATTCAGCAAAGAACTGTGAAATGCATGAATGCAGAAACTAATGAAACTGAAGATGACAGTATGTGTGTGGATAAAGCCAAGCCCACAGAGTATCAGAAATGCAATCTGCAAGACTGCAGGAAAAGTACAGGTATAGTAATACACCTGCATCAGTTTCCATACAGCTCTCCATTTGTGCTGAGATTCTGCAAAAAAATAGGAACTGACCCAGTCTATCAACTTGTTTTGAATACTACAAGCTCAGTAATTGCAGGTCAGCCTGACCCACTACTGCTCAGCAGCTCTGTTGTCAGAACCACTCTGTTGTGTTCTCCAGCCGTCCTGGCCTTGTGTTGCCATGATGGGGAGTGCAGTCCTGTGAGTCTGCATCCCTAATTTATGGCGCCAGAACTAAGTGAATCAGTCTGTTTGTATTGGCCTGTTTTAGGTAACTCTGGCTGCTTTGAGGGCTGTGGAAGGACACGCAGTGAGTCCAAACAGATGGCATTTCTTAAGATAGATCCCCTATGGAAAATGCAAATACTGGACTGGGAGTGCAAGCAAGCAAATTCTTGCAGACAGACACTGTAAGAAATATCAGTATCCCACAGAGTGAGACTGTCCAAAATAAAGAGGTGGAGAGACATACTTTTGTGTCAGGGTGTCCTGTACCTCCTTCTTTCAAAGGCCTGGGAGACCAGATGGTTAATAGCCCACAAAAGAGGTGTTGAGGAGGGGAGAAGCTTATGGAAAGATACATGTTTTTCATCTGTAGTTTGTGAACTGCATTATCCATCATGTACCCTCAGGTAAAACCAGCGACAGCTCAAAGTCCTAGACAAGTTTTCAAAAGCCTTTTGGAAGATGATTCTTCCCTCTTAATAAGACAGTAGTAAGAGTCTGATTTGACAATGAGACAAGAGTCTAGCTCCTGAGGGCAGTGCAGATCTGATGTACACTTGAGAGTGATGCATCACTCCTGCTGCTCTTCAAAGATCTTTAGCATGTGTTTTGCCCTAGGGTTGAATGGGTCTACTTATTTCCCAACCCTCTCATGCTCAGAAAGCCAGACTCAGCTAGCTGCCTACACAGATTAGGAAGAGTTATTTCTGTGAATAAAAGCTCAAGTGGCCCATAAAACATAAGAAATACCCTACTGGGTAGACCACTGGTCCATGCAGCCCAACACTGTCTCCAACAATGGCACTAGAAGATGCTACTTAGCAAGAATATACGAGTCTGGTCCTTTCCTGAGACTCATTTCCACGTTAGTCCTCTAGCATTCCCACCTGATGTATTAGGATTATTAAAGGTTCCCCCTACAGTGCCTTTTAGTTTAAATTTCCAGTAATATGTTGCAACTCTTCTTGACCCTGTGATGTTGTCTGCTTCCACCCTCTCCTGTGGCAGCAAGTTCACAGTATCATAGAATCATCAAGGTTGGAAGAGACCTTCAAGAACATCCAGTCCAACTGTCCACCCAGCACTACCATTGTAATCCCTAAAACAGTAAACCACATCACCTAGAATCAGATCCAGATGCCTCTTAAACACCCCCAGAGATGGTGACTCCACCACCTCTCTGGACAACCTATTCCAATGCCTGACTGCCCTAACAGTGAAAAACATGTTTCTGGTATCTAATATGAATCTCCCCTGTCTCAGCTTATGGCCATTCCCTTTAGTCCTCTCACTGCAGCAGGCATGGCAGAAGGGACCAGCCCCCACCTCACTACAGCCTCCTTCATCCTGAGCTCCCTCTTCTCTAGACTAAACAAACCCAACTCCCTCAGCCATTCCTCGTAAGGCGTGTGTTCTAGACCTTTTATGAGCCTTGTCACCCTTTGCTGGACATCTTTCAGTGCCTCAGTGTCCTTTTTTAAGTGAGGGCCCCAGAACTGAACACAGTACTTGATATGTGGCCTCACCAGTGATGTGTACAGGGGGATGATCACTTCCCTAGTCCTGCTGGCCACACTAGTCTTGATACAGGCCAAGATGCCATTGGCCTTATTGGCCACCTGGGCGAATTGTTGGCTTATATTGAGCTGGCTGTAGGCCAGAACCCTCAAGTCCCTTCCTGGGGAAGGGCTGAAGAGCTGAAGAGCTCTCAAGCCACTCCTCCTGCAGCCTGTAGTGCTGCATGAGGTTGCTGTTACACAAGAGCAGGACCCAGCACATTGCTTTATTGAACTTTACTCACTTGTCTTCAGCCCACTGATCAAGTCAGTCCAGGTCTCTCTATAGAGCCTTCCTACCCTCAAGCACAAGAACACTCCCACCCAACTTGGTATCATCTGCAAATTTATGGAGAGTGCACTCAATCCCCACATCTGGATCATCAATAAAGATGGTAAATAGGACTGGCCCCAAAACTGAACCCTGGGGAACACCACTAGTGACTGCCTGTTCCATTCACCACAACTTTGTGTCTTGGCCATCCAGCCACTTTTTTACCCATCAAAGAATCCATCTATCCAAGCCATGAGCAGACAGTTTTTCCAGGAGGATGCTCTGGGAGACAGTGTCAAATGCCTTGCTGAAGTCCAGATAGACTGCATCCACAGCCATTCCCTCTTCTGCTAAGCAGGTCACTTGGTCATAGAAGGAGATCAGATTGATCAAGCAAGACCTTCCTCTCGTAAATTCACATTGGCTGGCCTGATCCCCTGGGTGTCCTTCATGTGCTGTGTAAGAGCACTCAGGATGATCTCTTTCATAACCTTGCCCAGAACTGAGGTACACCTGACAGACCCCCAGATTATCCTTCTGACCCTTCTTGTAGATGGGTGTCACATTTGCTAATTTCTAGTCAGCTAGAACTTCTCTGGTTAACCAGGACTGCTGGTAGATGATGGAGAGTGGTTTGGCAAGTTCTTTTGCCAGTTCCCTCATTACTCTGGGGTGGGTCCCATCAGGGCCCATAGACTTGTGAGTGTCTGATTGGCATAGCAAGTCACTAAGCATCTCCTGCCAGATTACGGAGGCCTCATGCAATTCCCTGTCCCTAATTTCCAGCTCTGGGAACTGGGTATCCTGAGGACAGCTGATCCAGAGGTTCACATCCTGGTGTGAAAAGAAATGCTTTTATCTGTTTTAGACGATATTTATACTAGTTTTCATTAAGTTTCCCTGGTTCCAGTATTGAGGGATTTGCTGAACAATAGCCTTGCATTTGGCTAATTTACCATCTTCCTGCTTTTGCAAACCTTGTCTTCTTGCAGCTGAGGACCTCCAGTTTCTCTTATCTAACTAAATCTAGCACATCTTAGTTTATTTAAGCTACCACAGACCAATCAGCACTATAATATGTACTGTACCAGTCCCTGTCTGGTGATGCAGAAATTGAAGCATAGCAAAGCTGAACATGTAGGTGCATGTACATTGTCTGTGCTCTCCTGCCTGCCCTGTGTGGCTCTGCAGCACACTGCCAGTCCATTTTGCAGTTACAAGAATGCAAAAGTACCAGATGCACAAATCATTGTTGCTAGGCTTTCTCTGGCAGTCCTTATCGGCAGAAATGTCAAAGTAAAAAACACAGATCAGCTATGTCTGCTGCAAAAGGAAAATCTCACTGAACAGTATAGAGTGTTGTATTTCCCAGGACAGAAGGTCATGTGTTCACTAAAATAGACTAGAATTTCCGGGCGATCAAGCTAACCTGTAGTACAAAGGAAGAGAAAGACATCATAAATAAGAGCCTTAATAGGCATGACTGTCTGGCATAAAGCACCTTAAAATTCTAGAAATACAGACACTGTCAGCAAAATATAGCTAATTCTTCTCACCTTCTTTACCATAGGGCTGCCCTGCAGCAAAGACCAGCTGTCCGTTCACTTCTGCCAGAGGCTAAAAGGCATTGGGAAGTGCTTACTGCTGTCAATACGGACTCAGTGCTGCTTCACGTGTAGTGAGCTCCAAATTCGTAACAAAGCAAGATATGGGGATCAGCGAGGCCTGAAACAACAAAATTACACTAAATCTAGAAGAAAATCACCTCAAAACCAAGAAAACAACAACCAAGCAACTCGGAACTAGGTTTTTTGCTCTTGTTTCTTTGAGTAGGCCTTCTGTTTACAGGTTTTACGTTCCTTATCTTTTTTGAACTATCCAACATAAATGGAAATCTGTGATCAAAATTGGGAATACACATCCCTTAGGGTTATCAGTCCTAATGTACTGCTTCATTTTTTCTCAGTAATATTCCAAAATTTGTAACATAATTTGCAATGTACCAGCAGCTAGTACTTCTTAGGCATGCATAGACGCTAGAAACAAGCTTGCAAGAATTTTCTGATTTTTTTTAATGAATGTTTTACCTGTTCTTTCTTCCATCTCTTTTCTGAAACCCACTTGAAACACCAGCACCACTTACACACGAGTGCTTTGTGAAGGAGGCCAATGGAGCAGCAGACACAGCCCTGCACCATGGCCAGTTCCCTTTATACTCACTCGCCTTTCTGTTTTTAGAAATCAAGGTGAAGTGGCAGTGTTTCTTTAAATTCATTGCTCACTTTGTAAATGTAAAAGCACAGTTTTATAACTGTGTATGATGTGCAGGCTGAATTGAAACATAGGGTTTTCCAGAATCAAAAAAAAATGTTAATTTAGTACTTGACTGAATCTCTAAAGGATACCTCAGCCATAGCCTGTTCTGGCCAGTTTTCTTCCGCTACCCATCCCTTTCTGTAACGTAAAAACCCCATCAAATATGGGATGTTAAGTTCCCAAATACGTTAAGCAACATTTCTTGGTACCATAAAAGCAAAGCTCTTTGCATCTACCACCTGAATCGTTTGTAATTCATGCAATATTTGGTGATAGAGCTATTGTTTAATCCACTAAGTCCCAGAAGAGTGTAAGCCAATATCCACAAGAGCACTCTCACCTCACTCACAGCAAACATTTCCTTAAGTGCAAATCCTTGATCACAGTGAGGGTGAGGACGCCTGGGACAGAAGCCTGAGGCAAAGAGTAGTGTCTGCATAGCTCAAGCCTCAGGCATTAGTAGACCACTAGCCAAAATCTGTTTTGCTAGTGTAGGAAATGGCAGAACAAACTTCAGGGAGCCAAGACTGGACCCTTTGACAAAGCTGGGCATTTTCAAATGAGCTGCACAAGAGCAGAACATTTAGATTCCTTTGGAATTCAGTAGCATCTGGACACCTTGATTCATGCTTTTTTGAAAATCGCAGATTTACTCCCTAGTTACCTGATAATTTGTGATTGTAATACAGGGAAATATCACATTTTATGCATTGTAGAGTGAGACACATAGCCATGAATCCAGTGTCACTATGGTTGCAGAATTATGACTAGCAGTAGCCCTATTATGAAAGTTAATCGAGATATTTTGGCCTGGCCATAATGTATTAACCTAATGATGGCCACAAGTCTAATTGTCCTTTTTCATAGGTTTGTGACCTTTGACTAAGAGCTCACTTCTTCACTTGAAATCTCTGGGAGTTCAAAATATGCAGCATGGTAAGGTTAGATTTATTAACCTCTGTGGTGGCAATATAACCCCAGTTATAGGTGCTGATAAAATAAAATCCACTGTTAAAAATGTGGTGCTACTATAATACATGTGGGGATGACTTACAGTGGTGCATGTGCATGCATGCACACACTCTTACAATAATAGATGTCTGTGGTGTTGCTGGCCAACGCCAGACAAAATGCTTTTTAAGTTTTACAGTGTGCTTCTGTCCTTCTGAGGACCTGAATGGCTGCTGACCCTTTGAGCAATAGAAACCTGGGCAGTTCTTATTCCACTGGACACAGAAATACTGAATCATGTGAAGGAGTTGAGGTGCTCCATCTGATTCATAGAATCATAGAATCAACCAGGTTGGAAGAGACCTCAAAGATCATCGAGACCAACCCTACTGTGGTTATTAGACCATGGGACTAAGTGCCACATCCAGTCTCATCTTGAAAACCTCCAGGGATGGTGAATCCACCACCTCCCCAGGCAGCCCATTCCAATGTCTGACTACTCTCTCTGTAGAAAATCTCTTTCAAATATCCAACCTAAACCTCCCCTGGCAGAGCTTGAGTCTGTGCCCTCTTGTCCTACTGCTAGTTGCCTGCGAGAAGAGACCAACCCCCACTTGACTCCAACCTCCTTTCAGGAGGATTTGGGCAGGGTTTGGCCTCAAGCTGCATTGTGTGGAGCAGAGGCTGTACTGCTACATCCAGGGCAGCTCTCCAACAGCCAAACAACCTAGACTGGTGGACAGTGTAGATACTTCTTATATTCCCTGAATGTTATCTTCTCAGAAGCATCCTGTGGGATTTGGGCAGGATGAAGTTAGATTCACTTCAGAGTTGGACTCTTCTGTGCTCAGAGGTACCTGCAAGGTTTTGTCCACAGAGGTCAGCAGAGGTGGGCCACCAGGCATGTGGTCTAATGAGAAACAAGCTGAGTGGATATGGCGCAGCTGGGAGAAAAATGCTTGCAAGGGTTGTCCCTTCCAGTGCTCCTTCGAGCTAGCGTGGAGTAAAACCATTTCTGCCTTCAATGTTTTCTTCAGGGAGCTATAATTTCATTTGAAAGGGACAAAAGTGAATAAATTATATTATGGACATTAATCAAAAGAATCTTCTACCCAGGGAAGCACAGTCGTTACTGTTGCTTAGCTTAAAACTTTAGGAAAAAGACTGTGACAACATGAACTGTTTTAACAGAGCATTGCCCATGCTCTTATGACACAACAAACTTTAAGTAAATGTGGATTTATGATCTGAACCCAGATGGCCACTATTTTCAAAACTGAGTAGAGTATTAAGTGCAGAGGCATCTTATTATTGTATTATCATATTAGCTCAAAACACATCAGCTTCAAAAAGTTGCTCAGGAAAAAATGTGTATTTGGCACATTCACAACTTGTTCTAACATTTCAACGTTTAAAGTGCAAACTGTGGTGACATATTTGTTTCAAGCTTCAATAAATGGCATTGCTTATGTCTGATGTCTCTGGTATTTTATGTTTCCCATGCAAGAAGGTTCATAAGATGGAATTTCCAAGAACAAAAAAGCTTAGAAGGTATATTTTCTAGGCTGGGGATCCCAATCATTGGGTGATTTTGATGCTTAATACTCCAACGTAAAAGAAGTAGTTAAAAAGGGTGAGGGAAAAAAGTAGCAGAATAAAGCATGGTGCTAATTAAATATATATACTAATAGGCTTAGTTATTTCTTATGAAATAGATGAAATCTTACCACTTCTAGTCCAAGCAGATGTGCTTTAGTTTCTTGGATGTGTGCATGTCTGTTGTGTCTGTTGTGGGATGTTTTCCTGACAAGTTGTAGATAGTATGACCATGCCCACTCCCCCCACACACCTCCATCCTCCCCACCCCAAATCTTTCCAACACTCAAGTTTTGCACCTACTGCTGATGCTTAAGCTCAGAAAATTAATCACACTAAGCCTTTTTCTTGGCATACTGCCCACCAGTTTGCACTCAGTTACCAAACTCCACCCATACATTCACCCATGGGCTCAGCCTCATTACACCCCGTGGAAGTTGCATGAAGTTGCATGAAGTTGCTCCTTCTTAGTTTAGAAAGTAAGTGCAGCTCTCCAGCCCACAGGGGCAGCACCCTGCACAGGTGCTGTAAGGGAGAGGAATAAACTGCATTGGAAAATGAGTGGAAGTTCCCTCCACTTTGCCAAGTCCCATTAGGCATTACCAGGTGACCCACTGCACAACACACAGCCTGGCAAACAGTTCCTGCTGCACTGTGTGGCACAACTCACTACAGTCCTTTGGCTTGATCAAGCACACAGCACTCCCCAAAGGAAGTGCCTTTTTGCTGCCTAGCATCAGCTTGAAATTAAATCAGCATGGTAATGTGATGAGGCAAGAGAAAGGGATTTTAGGAGTGGCATTCCAGATGTCGGCACTTAATGCAGCACCACTGATAGTTTCGTTTTGTGGATATAGAAACACTATGTTGGAGACTCAAGAGGGAGAAATTTCAGCCCTGTTGACATGAATGTCCTAGATGTCTTTGTTTTTAGTGTTACTGTGTTCCCTGGAGAACAGGACTTGGTGCCAAACACCTCTTCATTGAACTGACTGATATGACTGTATTAGAGAGATGCATTCTGTTTCAGAGTGGTGATTAATAAAAAGCATACTTTATTTCTGCTGCCCAGTACTGCAGCTTACTCCTGCAGGTGGTAGGATATGGGGAACTCACACAAGGATATTACTTATTTCTGTGGCTGATCTACCTCAACCTCCTCTTTTTCCTTTGTGAACAAATGCAGATACCTTCAACAGCCACCAGGAACAAAACCTGAGATATGTTAGCCTGGGAGTACAAGTCTCTCCTACAGACATGGTGGCAGCAGTAAGAGCTGGAGAATGAGCAATAAACACAGTACGTTCAGAGTGGCCAACCATTGTCTGTAAGTTGATGTGTCTACAATTTGAGAGAAATCTGTGGTGATCATGTGAAAACTAAGAACTTGCAAAATATCTGGGCTTACATCTATGTTTACTTGAAAGACACAATCATTAGCAAGGAAGTTTATCAAGATTCTTGTAGGTTTCTGCTACTTCACTGTTACCATTATGAGTCACCAAGTGTAGCTTTTACTAAATATACTAAAGATTTGGGACAGAAGAAAATAGTTTAGTGGAGGGATTGGGTGTTTTGGGAGGCAGTCTTGCTAAACCTCCAGAATTACCTCTATCTCTGTCAGGTTACAAGTAGATGAGAAGATGGTTCTCGGTAGCCATCTGGATTCAGTGATTCAGTGGCTTTGGCTGGGGACAGAGACATCACAGAATAGCAGAACGAATCATAGAATCACAGGATGGCCTGGGTTGGAAGGGAAATTAAAGACTGTCTAGTTCCAACCACACTGTCATAAGCAGGGACACCTTCCACTAGTCCACATTGCTGAGAGTCACATCCAACTTGGCCTTGAACACTGCCAGGGGTGGGACATCTGCAACTTCTCTAGACAACCTGTGCCAGTGCCTCACAGTACCTGTGAGTTACCCTCACAGTAAAGAATT